GATTAGCGTAGATAGGTCAGCATAGATGCGATGGGCCGAAGAGCCTCTTTTGTGCTGTATGACTCTACAGTTGCAGGTGAGCCATGGTGGATGTGTGAGCCTAAGTTGTAGGAGTGTAAGCAGGCCATTCAGCCCACTGAATTTGCTCCAATATTCAATGAGATCATGGCTTAGGATGGCACAAAACAGACAAATTTCATGACAGCAAGATTTCTTGTGGAACAGTGGTAGTGTCTCTACCCCTGAACCAGGAAGCCTAAAGTTCAAGTTGTACATGCTCCAGAGGTGTGTCGTGGCATTGCTCAACAGGAAGACTAGAAAGTAACCATTTCCTGGTGGGTGCAGTTACAAGCAGCAGTAATAGGTGAGAATGTGGAACAGAATGGGAAGTAGTTGAAATGTTTGGTGGAATAATTGCTATGTCAGCAGATCAATAATCCCTTAGTTTGGACTATTGGATCAGCAATGAGTTCGAATACTGCAGAGGGAGTAGCTGAGGAATTTAACTTCAATTAATTAGATCAATCTGGAATAATGAAAGTCATGTTAGTCATGATGACCATGAAACTACTGCAGCTTTGTAAAAAGCAAACCCATCCAACCCAATGTTTTATAAGGAAGGCTCTAAATACTGGCTTGGTCGGTGGAACTCGCATCTTGAGCATTAAAAAGAAATTAACCTCTATAGTCATTGCACAGCTAGCCAGCTGCATTGCAGGTAACAGTGCATTAATTCTCCAGATTAGTGTAAGGTTTGTTTTGGGTTCCCCTGCAAGTAAATGCAACAAAACTATTTAGTCCATCACCAGGACATTTCAGGTGGTGAGGAGCTGGGCTACTGCAATAATTGGACTATGGTCCTCATGCAAAATGGAGATTTTACCACTGCTGACGGCTCCTGCTGGAAAGTACACGTGTATGAATTTTCACTAATGCCCTAAAACTCAAATAGTCTGCCTGGCCTCACGCGCACACAGAATATAAAGGGCTGGCTTACCATGGACCAGCATTTTTGGGCTATGATGTATAATAATTAGTACTTCCACAGATATGCTTGGAATTTATTGCAAATATCATACAGTATTTCATGCACAGAATATAATCAGTTTAATATGTGCTGATTACTGCACACCATCTAGCATTGATTGTTCAACAAATGTTTAAACAAACCTGGAAAACTATGAATATGTATTCAAATGGAACTTCATGCAGTCTGTATACAGATATGTTTCCATACAAATGTATAATTTGTGCCACCTAATGGTCAGTAGGTAATAGTGCATCCATTCACAAGAATCCAGTTCCTTCAAGCATGCAATGCCAGATCTTTCACACAACACACATCTGGTTTAATTTATAAACATTCCTTTTGCCCTCTCTGGCCAGACTCGAGTACAATAGGTACTCTCAGTCCTCTAGGAGAGGTCGTTGCCTGCATAAGCCTGGACAGTAAGCTTCAACAGACTTTTTGGCTACAAATAACTGCACAGAGGCTGGTATCCCATCAGCAAGTCACCTTTACTTACGTGTGGACACTGTTCCAGCTTCCTCAGAGTAAACAGGATGGCTGACACTCCTGTTCTTATCTGTCATCCAGGGCTCCCTGATTGGACCAGGTTAACAGCCCCAATCAGGGAACTCCTATTCTTTGAGGTCCATCTGGCTGACCTTGTTACAATCATTACATCTGAGGATATAGGCCAGTTCTTTTTTCTGTCGCTCCTCCTGGGATATATTAGCACCGGTCAGGTTCCTCCGACTCTGCCTCTGATACGGATGGTGTGTAATGCACAGAGGCTCACCTCTTGCGTCCCGAGTGCCTTGGAAGAAATTCATTCTCTTCTTCAGGTGCCAACGGCACTGAGGCTGTGACATCTGCTGTGCCCACCTCAGATTCGGAAGTATCTTCAAGACTTGATGGAGAGGGACAACCCTGGGTTTCAGAACAGTTGGAAAGGGTGCTGAGGAGTTGAGCACGTTTTGCTCCCGCACTGTTTGCGAGTTTGCAGCTCTGATATGGTCCACATGCTTACTCAGGACCATCGCACCTACCCGAACTTTACACGTCATTGGGCCTGACCTTGCGTCGATATTGCCTCTTACCTATGCTGGGCAATTCCCGTGTTCTGACACCAAATTTCATCACCCGAAGTAAACTGTCTCTCTTGCTTAGTGGAGTCGTGTGTTCGACATTGGCATTGCTGATGCCATTTCACCCTCCCATCCACCCCCAGGTCCTGGTGCAGAGCCTTCTCCCTATTAACAACACTGCTGGAGCTTTCCCTGTAGTTGCATGAGGGGTAGTCCTAAATTCAAATAGGAACTGGGATTGTTGGTATCTAGTGAAGCTGTAGGCTGTTTCTTTAAGCCTGCCTTTGGACTGCTTTCTCTGCCAGACCATCGGATGATGGATGATTTGGAGTTTTCCTTAAACATCAAATACCATTCGACCAGTAAATGATGGCCTATTATCTGTGACCAACAATTCTGGCAGTCCGTGTTTATCAAAAGATGCATGCAGTCTTTCCAGCGTCATCCTCGTGTTTGACAAATGAACTCTATACATGTGCAGCCATGTTCAGCGGGTGACCACAGTGCCTAAGAACATTGAGGCTACGAAAGGACCTGTGTAGTAGACATATAACGGAGTTCAGATGTGGGGAGCTGCTGACAGTAATTTTTGATCTCATTGGCACTCTGGGCACTGCCCCACCAACACAGCTAGGTCTGTATCTAATCCTGGTCACCAGGGATAGCTTCTCACCAACATGTTCATTTTGTAAACGCCTGGATGACCCTGGTGGAGTTCAGCCAACAGCTGGCAGTGATCTTTGCTCAGGACAATCACTCTTGCACCCCATAATACTATCCATCCTCTGCTGTGATCTGGTCTCTCTGGGTCCAAAAAAGGTTTCAATTCTTGTTGCGTCAGCACTTTGGTTTCTGCCATCGCCACCAGTTGTTACAGTTTTGCCAGGACCGGATCCTTCTGCGTCCAAAGTCTGATAATGTCAGCTGTGACTGGAAGTGTGTGCAGAAAATTTAAAAGCATTACAGACTCTTCCAGTGGTGGTACCACCAGTAGTGTATCTGCCAACAGAAGGCAACTCAAAGCATCCGCATTTGCCACATGGCCTCCCTGAAGGTGTTCCAACTTGTAATTATACACATTTAGAATTAGAGCCCGTTGCTGAATTCAAGCCTGAAGCGCTGCCTTGTCCTCTTTAAGCAGATGTGGCTGGGGTTTGTGGTCCATTATTATTACATTTTTACACCCATAAAGGTATTGGTGGAACTTTGTGACTCTAAATATGGCCTCCAAACCTTTCTTCTCTATCTGGGTGTGTTTATGCTCTGCATTAGCCAAAATCATGGATGCATATGCTATTGGGCGTTCCTCTCTATTGGGCCACCTATGAGCTAATATTACCCTGATGCTGTTGGGGGAGGTACCACATTTCAATAGCATATCTCACTTGGGATCATAGTTTGCCAAAACCTTAGAGGATGATAACTGTTTCTTCACTTTCTTGAAAGCTATGGTTTGGCTATGCCACTATTTCCAAGGCTGACCCTTTTTTACGAGTGGACACAAAGATGCCAGGGTGGAGACCAGGTTATGTATGAACTTTCCTCAATAATTTAACAGCCCAAGGAAAGACCTAAGCTCCGGGACAGATGTGGGAGCCGGGGCACCTTTTGATCACCCTCACTTTATCTTCCAACGGGTGTAACCTGATCTTAATCGACTCTGTGGCCCAAGTAGATGACTTGAAGTGCTTAGAACACACATCTCTTCCTTCTAAGGCATATGCTGCGTGGGAAAAATGTCTAAGGACTATGTCCAAATTCTCTAAGTGCTCCTTATTAGTCTTCCCTGTTACTAGCCCATTAGTGGTAGCTTGAAGAGGGACTTGCAAATGGTGTTCCCTTGTCCTCCTTAGTGATTGAGGCTACTGTTTTGTAGTCTGACTTTCCTCATGCTCCTCACTTGAAGCACCCTTTGCACTTTTGTGTGTTGGCTGATCGGAGCCAAGTTTGGAATGCAAGAAATTCCCTGGCACCTATAGGGGCAAGAGTACGGAGAAAACAATCGTAAATAATAAATTGCTGCCTCTTGAAATCAACAGCAAACTCAGCACCGGGGAATCCAACAAAAATCTGTCTGGTCAGCTCAGCAGAGCTAAATGTTGCCCTTATCAGCTTAGATTTAGAAAGTACCTGCTGCTTATAATGAAACATCAAAGAAAAAAATCTATTCCCCTGTAATTTCTGCAAACTTAGATGGAAATTAATACATTTACAAGGATTAATTATAGCTTTGCGTGGGTTTGTACCAGTTAATTCCCACTGCTTACTGAAACATTCAATGATTTAGAAGTCAATTAAAAGGCATAAAAACAATTTGAAATGGAATTATAGTTTTGACATGATGTTTAAAATAGCTAGTTTCCTCTGCTGCACTTCAATGGAACTTAAAAGCAGGTTATACCAGCTATAAAATGAGTCTTTTCGTCTGGGTGTTTGTGTTCTGCTTAATGTGTGGTAAAGACTGTTTAACATTTTTAATTTCCACCACTATTATTATCCTTCCAATACCAGGGAAACAGTATTACAGGTCAGACTGTGGACAGATACTGTCCCACTCACAGGTACAGGTGCTGTTCTCCCTTGGTTATAAATAGCCTTGCATGCTATCCGCTTAGCACAAAATCCAGACCAAAATCCTTCAGAGAAGGGAGCCTTCACAATTCTTAATGGGCCCAGCAAGCCATAAAAATTTCTGAAAGAAATCCAGCATCCAAATCAACCCAAAGTATATGCAATACATGCTTGACCTTGCCAGCAATGCCCTCATTCAGACAGCAATTTAAGGACAAACATGCCCATCAAATGACACAGCATCACAAGAAACAGTCAGAAATGCTCGTTACAAAAGTAAAAATAGAATGCAATTAAACACAAATGAAAAGCTGCAAAAAAATGTCACAGTCACAAAGGAATGTCGACTTCACTTTTATTTTTCATTACTATAAACAAGGCAATTTCATCTTCAATTACCAAACACATTAATGAAACCGACAAAATACATGTTCAACAGGAATCTTTATCTATTTAACACATCACTCTAATTAATCAAAAGCTCAAGTGTATAAAAATCCATGTTATGGTCTGAAGATCCATGAGCGTGTATTGTCCATCTCAGACCATGTCACCTATTAAATCTAGCAAGTCCAAAGTCTAAAGACAGAAACATGTTTTTCCTCCCGTTTTAGGCTGGTCGGTTAAAATTCCATAGCTGGCACTTCAGCCTCCAGCTGTGGGCATGATCAGATGCCCACTGATGACCATCTAGGCTGCCACATGGCAGGACAGCGGTAGACGGATGTGATTTAGAAAGGGGAGCAAGACATCCTGAGCTGCGTTCTAGGTGTCCTCCTCCTCTTCCTCATCCTGTGAGGAGCCAGCCTTGTTGGCGATTGCTGCTGCGAGCTGTGCCTGCTGGGCAGCTTGTTGCATCTGTAACCATTCTTGCTGTGCCAGTTCTGCCTGCTGCTGTCGAGCCTGAGGGGAAATGGACAAAGTCAGGCTGGCGTGCAAACCCAAATCTCTGTGGCAGGTGGGGTGGGATCTTGGTGGGAGGCGGGAGTTGGGCGGGGGAGTGGTGGTAGTGGTGGAGAAGAGGGAGAGAAATTGCACTACATCTAACCCCACTCATCTTGACGCAAATAATGTTTAAGAAAAATTTATTCAACTCTAGCATGCATCAAGTTTGATTGTGATACCTTCCTTTGGAGGAGTGGCTTGCATCAAGACCTCTGCACGGACATTAAAGTGATTTATTACAGAGTCTGATAACATGCAGTATACAAGGAGGCAATACTTTCCGGATGGCAGAACAGAAAAAGCAGCCTCCAACATCATCTTAGGGACAACTCTGAATTTGAATATTTCTCCCAAATCCCTGGCCCTCTGTTCTGGTTACATCGAGTTGTATACAAATGAAATTTCACTAGTGCCTCACCTTCAAGGTATCAGCCATGGGTTAGTGTGAAGCAACCTCATCTCAGTCACAGATTAAAGGATCAAATCCCAATCTCTGGATGTCTATAGATGCTGGAAAAAGGGACGAGCAAGCAGACTGCTGAAATTCCTTCACAACATAGTGACAGCTCATTTTCACAATTCTGAATACCAGAGAAGCTCAATCTGTTCAAGGCTACAAACCTGTTACAGTGATGGGACAGATTGATTTGTGAGCCCCCTTATATTAGTTAGTGAGGAACTTCAATGTTGGGTCCACACTTATCAGCAATGTCTCAAGTTTAATCCCTGGTCTGTGCCATGTTTGCCAATTGCAGCAGAATTGGCAGTTGGAGCAGATTCTCTCAGCACATTTAACCAGCAGCTCCTCAGCACTGTCAGTGGTTCCCTCCTGGGAAGTGTAACTACGTAGTTGAACTACGTGCTGGCATTTGCTGCCTGCTTTGTGCTACCATTACCTTCAGCCTTAAGATCAAAATACTCTTGCTAGTTTCCAAAAGTAACATTCTGTCAAAATGTCATGACTCAAGCTTCATATTCGTCTTTGAAATGACTCCATAATTTCCTTGACCCCAAGAGACTGTTTACAAGATCACAGCCAACTCCCTTCATGACCTTACTCGAGTCTATCGCATCCACCTTCCTCAACTTCAAATCTCTGTTTAAACCCCCTGCTACTCTTACACCGTCTACTTCTTGTTGCCTGTTCTACATCCTAGATTTAATGCTTTTGAAGGGAAGCTAGGCAGATGCCTACAGAGGGAAGGGAAATGCTGACAGAATGACTGAAAGGAGTTAAAGATGACAGGACAGTCATGTGCAACATGAACATGCCAAATGGCCTATTCCTGTAGTGCACATTATTTTTAAACCCCATAATCTGTGACTTGCTTCCAAAATTTATCTGCCTGATTGTTTTGTTATCAAAACCTCCATTTGTTTTGATCATGCTATTGGCTTCCCCCCAGCCCCAATCAGTTTTCTGCTTTCTGCTCCTCCTTGTTCACTCAGCACCCAGCTTTCTGTAATGGTTGGATGTTGTTTGCAGTAGAAAAAAAGTGTTATTGCTGGTGGCTCAGCTGACAGTCAAAGAAACTGACAGTCAACCGAGGAAGAAGTTGACAACTAGGAGTGGAGAATGTTTACAAATCTCCTTGTACAGTTAAGTTCCTCAATATGGCTGGACCAAACAAGCTGGAAAGTGTGGGGTTGGAGAAAGCAAGGGTGGAGAATGCAGTGAGCAGTCTGCCCTTACATCTACCTCCTAACAAGTAATGACTGCATGCTGCATTGCACACAGGAGCCTAAAAACAAGTCACCTTATCTTGGAAATGGTGTGTAGCATATTAATCTAGAATGGGTAAGGAAACAAGTAAATTTGTTTTGTAACTTGTTCTTTTTTAAAGCTGCAAAATCATTGAGAAAAATGTCTGACCTAGTTTCCAGCACTATGGATCACAGCTAACGCTGCTGTTGTGATTTTAGACACATTGTTGCCTTAACTATACAGTTATGTGGTCATCTCAACAATATGGAAGCAAGCAACAGTTTGTGGTGTTGATAACGGTTTGTGGACTCCAGACAGTCTGGCTGCTAAGCAGAAAATAGTGGTAAAAGGAAATGTAGACAGATAATATCCATAATTAGAATACGGGACACCATTGTTTGGGTGTATTTCAGACTTTGTTGCAGCGTTTAAAGTTTTATAATTTTGTACTTCATGTATTGATAAGAATTTTTTTTTACATGATTATCTGACATTTAGTCCTGGATGGATAGAAATATCCTCCAACTAAATTGTGAATTCCAAAGTAATGAACTTTGATTTTAGTTACAACTCTAGTTCCCTGTACACAAACTCTAACCTGCTCCCTGATCACTGTGACTGAACCACATCATTCACAATCTTGTCCTTTTTGATCCTGAAATGGACTTCTGACTATATATATCCATACCAACTAAAATAATTACTTCCACTTCCTTTACATTGACCAACTGCACCTCTGCTTTAATTCATCTATACCATCAGTGCTGGACTTGACTGATCCAGGAGTCCCCTGAACAATTACCATCTTCTAACCTCCATAAGTGAATGAAATATAGCAAGTCAAAATCTTGCTGCTTATATTCCAACTCAACTAATCATCTATCAACCTGAAAATCTTGCACCATCCAGTTCACTGTCTTTCTCTGCAACAAATGTGGCAGAGATTGCTGCTCCATTCTATGTGATGCTTAATACAGTTAACCACCACTGCACAAACCATCGCCCTACAAAACAGAAAGCAGAGGAGAAAGCACTGATTTAAAAAGTTTCACTCCATCCTAATTCTGAAACTCCTCCAGTCCCACAATCCTGCAACAGTTTTACGTTCCCCCAGTTCTGGCCTCCTCCACATCCCACTTCATTGTACAATTGGTGGCCTTCAGCTGCCCGAGTTCCAAACACTGAAATCAGACCTTGACTGACAAAAACCCACAAGCTGGTTGAAATCACCCTTGGAACACCTCACTTACCCACTCCATGATGGCCTGTTCAATTCACCAACTGCCCATCTTCCATCTCAGTGCCCCAATATGAAGCAACCTTCCTGACGAAGATCTAATAGCAAACATCCTTAGGAATTGCGAAATGGGAAACACCGGAAGTTGCTTGTGACAAATCCAATCTGTCAGCAGCAGGTTATGAACTACTGTGGCAAGAATGGTTAATGCTAAACACTGGAGGGCGAGAAGGCTAAGGCTACCATGGGGCCTCCGTATAATCACCTTATACATGCGGAGAGGTACAAACAATGCTACATATTACTGAGGAGTGTTCCAGTAACAGATTAAATGGTGCTCTAATCACCTTAAACTGAACAAAGCGGAGGCTATCACTTGGCTTCAGGGATTTTCATTTTATAACTAAACAAACAGCTCTCTGAAACATTTTGTATCACTCAACTCTTCAATTTTTGGTCACCTTATTCTCCTTGTGTGGCTTATCAAATTTTCTTTAAACACTCCATTGAAACGCTTCAATATGTTTTATTAAGTTAACATATTTATATAAATATTGTATGACATTCTTCCCAATAAATACTGAATCCCTCAACTCGGTGTAGAGGAAATTCAACAGAATGAGGGACTTCAGATATTTTAAGAGATTGAAGAACTGGCATTGTTCTCCACAGATCTGAGAAGAATGACAAAATTCTAGCATTCAACATTATTAAAGGATTTGATGGAGTAACTCAGGAGAAACTGTTGCCGCTCACAGAGAGGTCACTAACCACAGAACATACAGAGTTAAGTCAATTAATAAGAATCAGAAGTGATGGAAGACATTTTCTTCTTAAAAGGCATCGAGTTTTGATGTGTAATGCAGAGACTGAGATGGTGTTGGAAATTAGATCAATACTCAAAAAAGAAATGTGCAGGACTATAGGGTAAGAGCAAAAGAGTAGGACTAACTTTTTTTCAAAGAGTCAGCAGTGGCATGATGAGCTGAATTATGACTTCCTGTGCTGTATAATTGCATTAAATAGTTCTGTTTCACCAGGTCAACATGAATCCAGCCAGGACAACCCGTTCAGTAGTCCCAACCATTACACATACACACACCCTCTCCACAACATGGGCTCAAAAATCTCCTTATGCTGGGCTTTGGCTTCAGTGATAATCAGAGCAGGTCCAGATGAAGTGTGCATGATGCCACTTGTATCAATTTTGGTTATGAAGCAGGATAAATAAAGAACTATTGATTAAAAGTCATCAAGTTCAGATTTTACAGTCTGCCTGTAAGAAGGTGAATGCGAGTGGAGCTAAGTGAGGTACAGTTGGTTAGAGACTCCAGTTTTGAAGAGTTGGGGGTAACTTCCTTGAAAAGTACAGCTATACATTTCAAAAATATTGAGCAATTTTCCTTACTTTTGCAAACAACTCTTGTTGCTGACGTAGCAGTTCCTCCTCTGGTATTCCGAGGTTCTCCAAGCGAGCGTTGGCCTTTCTCCTTTCTAGGGCAACTGTCTTGCATTCGCGCAGAACCTCTTTTACTTCAGTTATGTATGATCCAAAACCTAGACTCTCCAAGGCTGTCATACAAGGTAACACAGAAAGAAGCGTGTAACAGTCCCCTGGCTATGTAAAAGCTCTCTGCTGGGTATTAATCTACACTTGACAATCTGATATCAAAATCTTGATATTCACAGATGGGTTTATGATTTAATTCTACATTTTTGTTGTGTATTGATTTACACTTGACAGTCTGATATCAAAAACTATTCATATTCACTTTGAAGATTCACATTACATAGAGAACCAGCTCTGTTCAGTTTCATTTCAAACTCAGCTCATTCACTTTCTCTTGCATTTTGCCTTTCCAAAACACTTGAGCTATGGTCATTCCAGGTGTATAAGTATCTTGCACAAGTGACCACTCTAGATGTATGAGCTTAAGACAGTGTCAACAAAGAATTTTGAGGGCAGTACAGGCCAGGTTAGATCCTGTCCTCAATTGATTTCCACACTGTCAAGGGAGTCACCAGATTATAATCTGAAGTGGGAACACAAACTGATCTTTCTATCTCCTTAGCGCAATAGTGCTGTGTCTCTAGGCTATCTTCCCTGCCTGGTTCCATGAAAATTTTCATGGGATCCAGAGTCAGGTTGAGGACTCAAAGGGCGACTCCCTCTCGACTGTACACCCGAGCCATCAGCCCTCCTGGGTCTGTCTTGCTGTTGGGGGACAGGAATGGATGTCAGCAGTGTTGTCGGGGCCTTTGTAAGGTATTTTGAGAGTATGATGATGTCAGGTTGATGACTGACTAGTGTGAGAGATTACTCTCCCAATTTTAGCACTTATCTCAGATATTAGAAAAGACTTTGCAGGGACAACAGGGCTGTATTGTGATCATTTTCAGTGCCTTAGATGATCCCAAGTAGCCCATCCAGTTACATTTTTTTAAGACTTTCTACTGGATGATAGAACTGAATGGCTTGCTTGTCCATTTCAGAGTCAATGACATTGCTAATGTTGGATGGCAGTTTCCTTCTCTAAAGGACATTAGTGAACCAGATGGTTTTAGGATTTAATTTAATTCTGTATTTTTATTGAATTCAAATTCATGGTGGGATTTGAACCCAGTTCCCTAGAACTGAGTCATTGGATTACTAGTCTAACTGCGATATCACTATGTCATCGCCTCCCCGACGTTATCAAGTTTGTCGACTTGGTATACTTCAACAGTCTTGTACATTTTACCATGTAGCAGTACGCAGAGGGGAAAAATGACCTTTGGTTACAGAGTGCACTTCATGGCATCTCAACATTACAGCTGGTGAAACACTTCTGAAATGTAGTCACTGCTGCAACATTGGAAATTCAGCAATAAATTGCACAGCAAGCTCCCACAAACAAAAATGAACCAGATCATCTATCATCCACCAGGCACATGTTGCATGGTAAATACTGACCAGGACACAAGGGAGGACTCTTCAGTGAACAGTAACTACTGGATCTTTCACATCCATGCAAGAGGGGTACAGAGACCTTAACCTTAAATGTTTAGGTTGATGTGTGACACATCCAAGACTGCAGCATTCCCTTAGCACTCATTAATTCATACAATTTCTGTCTCCGAGGTAGAGCTGAAGAAGAGCCACGTGGGTGATGGCATAAATAACTGGACAGAAACTTCAGTTGTGAGCTAAAGGCAGGGAGAAAATATTGCTGCAATTCCAAAGTGTATTTCTATAGATTAACACATACCTTGCATGATATGTTCTGGTGAGATGGTTTTCTTATCCGACTTATTGCAGATTTCATTAGCTTCAGAGGACACTAAGTGAATAAATTCAGTGCAGCAGCTCACCACCATTTCTCTGGCATCATTTGCTACCCTGACGTTTGGTAGAATCTGTTTGATAATCTTGTTGATGGCAGCTCTTGGAATGGTTAAGTCATCATCACTATTACTTGAAGCTGAGGCCATAGTCCTTTATTTCACATAAAGTGGCCAAAGTTTTTCTTTTAAAAAAAAAAGCAGTTTTTCCTAACAAGGTGGGCATACACCAAATCCTCATCAAATTGTTTTATTAGCACAATGGTATTTAATCCAGTTCGATTCCAAAACCAAAATATGATGAACATTTGGTTTAGAGATTAACTTAATATGATCTTGTTATCCTAGAGAAAATGCAAAAACATCAGACATTAAAACAAAGTCTCAGCAGTGGGAAACAAAGGCATATTTATTATTATAGAGAAACTAGCATCAGCAAAACAAAAATTCTGACTCCATGAACAAAACAAACAAGCCTAGTGAAACTCAATTGAGTAAGTCAGTACAACACAGATTTAAAACCTGGCTTATTTAGCTGATAAGCACCCTGGTTTTCCAATCCATCCATGACCTCATCGCTCCCCATCTCTGTAACCTGTTTGAACCCTATGACCCTGAAATCTCTGAACTTGTCCAACTCTGGGTTCTTTTAAACATTGTTCCAACAATGGCAACCTCGCCCTTACCTGACAACACCCTGAGATCTGGAATTCCTTCACTAAATCACTCTACTGCTCTCTTCCTAGAAAATGTTCCACCAAATCTAAAGATCCACCAAACTACTGGTCCACCAGTCCTGATGTCAACTTTATGACAATGCTCAATATTAAAGACTAATTGATAACCTACAGTATGGAAACAGGCCCTTGGGCCAACAAGTCCACACCGACCCTCAGAGCATTCCACCCAGACCCACCCCTCTATAACCCACTTAAATCTACATATCCCTGAACACTATGGGCAATTTAGCATGTCCAATCCACCTAGCCTGTGCGTCTTGGGACAACAGGAGGAAACCCACATAGACACGAGGAGAACATGCAAACTCCACACAAACAGTCGCCTGAGGGTATAATTGAACCCGGGTCCCTGGCACTGTGAGGCAGCAGTGCTAACCACTGAGCCACCGTGCCGCCCATAATACCCAGGAAGATATGTGGGGAGCTTGTATCTTGGAGAGATTCTTTTTATTCATTCGTGGGATGTGGGGTCACTGGCCGGGCAAGCATTTACTGCCTGTCCCTAGCTGTCCTTGAGAAGGTGGTGGTGAGCTGCCTTATTGAACTGTTGTGGTCCACGTGCTGTGGGATGACCCACAATGCTGTTAGGGAAGGAATTCCAGGGTGTGTTAAGGAGAGTGGGAGAGGAAGGGAAGAGGCACTGAGCAGACACCAGGAAGAAGAACAGAGAGAGAAGGACGGAGGTCATAGAGTCAGAGTTAGAGAGCTGTACGGCATGGAAACAGTCCAACTCATCCATGCCGACCAGATACTCTAAATTAATCTAGTCCCATTTGTCAGCATTTGGCCCATATCCCTCTAAACCCTTCCAATTCATGTACCCACCCAAATACCTTTCAAATGTTGTAATTGTTCCAGCCGCCACCACTTCCTCTGGCAACACATTCCATACATGCACCACCATCTGTGTGAAAAAGCTGCCCCTCAGATCCTTTTTATATATTTCCCCTCTCACCTTAAACGTATGCCCTCTGGATTTGGACTCCCATACCCTGGGAAAAAGCATTGGCTATTCACCCTATCCACGCCCGTCATGATCTTAAAAAATTCTTAAGATGACCCCTCAGCGTCCGAATCCCCAGTCTACTCAGCCTCTCCCTATATCTCAAACCCTCCAAAATCCTTGTAAATCTTTGCTGCAACCTTTCAAGTGTAACATCTTTTCCATAGCAGGGAGACCAGAACTGAACTCAGTATTCCAAAAGTGGCATAACCACTTAAGGCAAGCATAATAACAGGGGTGATGGGGGCTTGGCGTGGGGTGGGAAAGGAAAAGAGGTGGAGAGACAGGTAGCAGGAACAAGTTAG